TTATTTTGTAAAGATTACATTCTTGCCTACTGTCTAAAGAAAATTGTTCTCTTTCAAGAGTGTATTCTCTTTCTTATTCTAACTAAAACTAGCATCTAGTCGACTGCACGGATGGCGTATGTTGTGTGTATGATGGCGTTGTGGGTTCAAACCCCATATGGAACGACACGTTGTGTAATCCACAAATTGTTGTTCTAAGTCTGTGTGTTGTGTCCATTTCATGTATGTTTGTAAAGTCCCCCGCGACACAGGATATATTCCTAATGCGGGAGTTGTCTTTTTAAGATTTTAAGAAGATTAAGATTTAAGATCTACTAATTTTTGGGTCATACTTTTGCAATCAATAAAATATAGATTATTTCGTATCGATCAAGTTATCTTATGGTTATATCTACGAGTATGTTACAAAAAAATAGAGGTCAGAAATGAGAGAGGAATCTACCACGTTTATATTGCTCATTAGTGAGGTCGTACAAAAACTACCTACCCTTTTATGTTCATTGAATACTGATTACTCGCACGAACGAAGGCCCCTTCTGTGTGTTTTTTTTTTATCAAGAGAACACTACATTAAACCCCCAGGCACGTCTACGAGATGGTTAAGATAAGAATGCGTAACTATGTTATTCTGATTATACTATCTCTGTATAGATAGAATCAGATAAGTTTCTTATTCTTAGGATACTCGATATTGCTCATTATTAGTGAATATATCATGTTCATTTCTTTCACCATGAAGTGTAAGAGGAAATGTCAGATGTGCTGCTGCAGAGGTTACATCTTTTTCCATTATAGAAGAATATTTCTTCTTGAGATGTATAAACAAAACATCATCATCATCAACAGCCTTTAATAGTCCACTGCTGGACATAAGCCTCTCCTGAGAAAGGAGGTTTTGGCCTACTATACCACGCTGGCCAGACGGGTTGGTAAAGGGTTTGTGTCAAGTTTTCCTTCTCTCTGCAGTGCTGTTGTCCTGCTTAGTTTTTTCCTTTAGTCGGCTCTTACGACACCCACGGGATGAATAGGGGTGGTGACACTCTGTATTCTTAATCCGTCACCACACGGACTTTTTAACAAAACATAGTTTTGTAAAAACAATGTGTGATAAATATCTAATAATTTATAAGGAGTATATATAATGTATAATCCTAATTATGTCGGTATTTGTTTAATTTTTATGCTTTTCTATGTTGATTCCTACGTACGCATAACTGTGCCCTTACGTTTCTCTGTTGTCCTCTATTCGCTCAAGGTTTGCTGGAAGAAAACTCAGTTTTGGGTTAAGCTCGCCTTTGTACATGACATTTCCTTGTTACTTATATATATGTATTTGTTCAGTGTGTACGATAAAGAATAAATAGAAATAGGTGGTCGTACCGATATACCGGTTTGTTCTGCATTTTTACGCTACATTACATACTTATATTTTTAAAAGTTTCAAAAGAAAAGAGGTACCATATTCGGCTGTATGTATTTTTAGGGTTCCGTACCTCAAAAGGAAAAAACGGTACCCTCATAGGATCACTTTGTTGTCCGTCCTCCATCCGTCTGTCTGTCTGTCACGACCCTTTACCACGGGACCGCGTGGAGGTATCGAGTTGAAATTAAAGCGATATACTTAGTATATCCTAGACTGTACACCTTAGTGTACCGTCTCTTAAAGCTGTGAAAAAAACAAACTTCTAAGTATCATCATCATCATCAACAGCCTATAATAATCCACTGCTGGACATAGGCCTCTCCTTAGAAAGGAGGTTTTGGCCTACTATACTACGCTGGCCAGACGAGTTGGTATAGGGTTTGTTTCAAGTTTTCCTTCTTTTTGCAGTGCTGTTGTCCTGTACAGTTTGTTCCCTTAGTCGGCTCTTACGACACCCACGGGATGAATAGGGGTGATGATAAAAGACATAGAAAAAAGTTACAACCGTCTCCATCTCCGGGGAATCAAAATTTATGTGGTATTATCCGTTGACCTATGAAATTTGGCAAGTAATAGCGGCTTATACTACAAGTATAGGGCAAAATCTGAAAACTATACAGTTGTAATTAAATTATTAAAAAAACAGGGTATTTATGCAAGGTCCAAATTTTGAATTGAGTTAATTTAATTTGAGTTAGTTACAGATTTTTAATTATTTGTATGATGTATGGTTTAGTTTTAGTTATTCTGATTCTACAGTGGAGGTTACGGACTGGAAAACGCTGCGTGAGACGACAATCAACACAGTGTATCGTAGTGTATAAAAAAATACTGGTTCACTATGTATGTGGCTATGTGTATGGTTCACTGGTGTTCTTAGAAGTCTTCGTCTTCCACTGCTGGATAGTGGACATAGCGGCACCTATGTGAACAGTGGACAGTGCACTGCTGGACATTACTTGCGGCTGGCACCTTTATGTACTTTGATAATTTCAGAGTATGTTTACTAACATAAAAGATGTGTTTTTTAAGTTTATTTTGTAAAGATTACATTCTTGCCTACTGTCTAAAGAAAATTGTTCTCTTTCAAGAGTGTATTCTCTTTCTTATTCTAACTAAAACTAGCATCTAGTCGACTGCACGGATGGCGTATGTTGTGTGTATGATGGCGTTGTGGGTTCAAACCCCATATGGAACGACACGTTGTGTAATCCACAAATTGTTGTTCTAAGTCTGTGTGTTGTGTCCATTTCATGTATGTTTGTAAAGTCCCCCGCGACACAGGATATATTCCTAATGCGGGAGTTGTCTTTTTAAGATTTTAAGAAGATTAAGATTTAAGATCTACTAATTTTTGGGTCATACTTTTGCAATCAATAAAATATAGATTATTTCGTATCGATCAAGTTATCTTATGGTTATATCTACGAGTATGTTACAAAAAAATAGAGGTCAGAAATGAGAGAGGAATCTACCACGTTTATATTGCTCATTAGTGAGGTCGTACAAAAACTACCTACCCTTTTATGTTCATTGAATACTGATTACTCGCACGAACGAAGGCCCCTTCTGTGTGTTTTTTTTTATCAAGAGAACACTACATTAAACCCCCAGGCACGTCTACGAGATGGTTAAGATAAGAATGCGTAACTATGTTATTCTGATTATACTATCTCTGTATAGATAGAATCAGATAAGTTTCTTATTCTTAGGATACTCGATATTGCTCATTATTAGTGAATATATCATGTTCATTTCTTTCACCATGAAGTGTAAGAGGAAATGTCAGATGTGCTGCTGCAGAGGTTACATCTTTTTCCATTATAGAAGAATATTTCTTCTTGAGATGTATAAACAAAACATCATCATCATCAACAGCCTTTAATAGTCCACTGCTGGACATAAGCCTCTCCTGAGAAAGGAGGTTTTGGCCTACTATACCACGCTGGCCAGACGGGTTGGTAAAGGGTTTGTGTCAAGTTTTCCTTCTCTCTGCAGTGCTGTTGTCCTGCTTAGTTTTTTCCTTTAGTCGGCTCTTACGACACCCACGGGATGAATAGGGGTGGTGACACTCTGTATTCTTAATCCGTCACCACACGGACTTTTTAACAAAACATAGTTTTGTAAAAACAATGTGTGATAAATATCTAATAATTTATAAGGAGTATATATAATGTATAATCCTAATTATGTCGGTATTTGTTTAATTTTTATGCTTTTCTATGTTGATTCCTACGTACGCATAACTGTGCCCTTACGTTTCTCTGTTGTCCTCTATTCGCTCAAGGTTTGCTGGAAGAAAACTCAGTTTTGGGTTAAGCTCGCCTTTGTACATGACATTTCCTTGTTACTTATATATATGTATTTGTTCAGTGTGTACGATAAAGAATAAATAGAAATAGGTGGTCGTACCGATATACCGGTTTGTTCTGCATTTTTACGCTACAGTATACTTCAATAAAGCAGTACTTGAGAAGTTTCCTGATAATGTTCAAAGGTAATCAGTCAGCCGTACCTTGCAATTCATATCGGACTCAACCAAAGTGCGCAAAAGTCCTCCGCCTTCCATGCCCGATCCATCCCAGCCACCTTTTTCAGATCGATAATAATAATAATAATAGTGATCATTGTTCCGATAGTCGTATTTGCTCACGGATTGATAGCCAAGAGCCTCGACCAACACCTTAAGAGGCTCACGTTGGACGGCTGGATCAAGGGTCTGATGCAGAAGGCAGTGCCAAGGCACGGCTGTCTTAGTCAACCGTCTAGTCACCGGTGTCTTAGTCAATGTACCCGATGTCGGTGGTCTACTATTTTTTATATTTTTAAATGTATTTTTTTAAATTTTTTATAAAGTGTATGTTTAAAAATGTAAATAATATGTATATAAAGTAAATAAAGAGAATAATAATATAATAATAATATTCTACCACATTCACACAACGCCATCTAATCCCAAACTAAGCAGAGCTTGTACTATGGCTACTAGACAACTGATATAAATACATATATACTTTTTTTGTAAATACGTACATATTATATATAGGAACACCCAGACCAAATCAAACATTAAATGTTCATGCACACAAATGTTTGACTTGAGCGGGAATCGAACCCGCGACCTTTTGAATAGCAGTCCGTAGATACACAACCACTACGCCATCCGGTCGTCAATGTCCGGTCATCCGTGTCGATTTCAGATCGAGTTCATTTTACTTTTTGGGTGCCTCATACATACCGCTTATCATTATGTGATACTCCTAATATCTTGTTTTATCTATACTAATATTATAAAGCTGAAGAGTTTGTTTGTTTGTTTGTTTGAACGCGCTAATCTCAGGAACTACTGGTCCGATTTAAAAAATTCTTTCAGTGTTTGATAGCCCATTTATCGAGCAAGGCTATAGGCTATATATCACCACGCTAAGAAAAAATAGGAGCGGAGCACCAATGAAGAATGTTTCAAAAACGGAGAAAATTTATTACTATTGATAGACGCAGTCAGCTAGTAAAACTTATAGTAACTTTTATTTATCCTTGTTTCAACTAAACAAAAAAGATAATTATAAAAGGTCCTTTAGTTATAAAATCTTTTGGAAATACTAGCATCTCTGTTAATGTTTACTCCCCTAAGCAGCCATCCTTGCCCAGGTCTCACGGGTTGATCACCCAATGGATTGTCGTCGGCAGCTGCCACTTGCAGTAGTAGCATTCTGCGAGGTCTTGTTGATACGTTGGCTGGACTACCGTGGATCAAGAGATAAGAGAATATGACTACATCGCCACGGTCTGCTAGCACCGCAGTAGCGCCATCTACAGGAAATTTCAACTGTAAATATAAAAACAAAAGTTAATTATAATAGATAGAAAAAACAAAATTTCCGTGTGGTGACGAATTAAGAATACGGACTGTCACCACCCCTATTCATCCCGTGGGTGTCGTAAGAGCCGACTAAGGGAAAAAACTACGCAGGACAACAGCACTGCAGAGAGAAGTAAAACTTGACACAAACCCTATACCAACCCGTCTGGCAAGCATGGTATAGTAGGCCAAAACGTCCTTTCTAAGGAGAGGCCTATGTCCAGCAGTGGACTATTAAAGGCTGTTGATGATTACATTGTATGTTATAGGATATAATGCATAATGTTGATTTCCTACAGACGAGCTCGCTTGCCGAACCCTAAGGTTTTCACAAATTTGACGGTTAAATAATTAATATGATTATGAAAATATATAAGATTTGACTTCAATTGTATGTATTTATGAATATAGTATCCTTAAATAATTATATGATAAGAGTTAAATTATTGTTTAATCAATAATTAATTAAAGATTAATTATTTTGTATCGAAATTATTCCTTTGTATTAATTTTACAATATACGATCGATCCTACAAAACACTAAGCAAAACATAACTAATATAAGATAGGGTAACTCTGAATAGATGAAATAAGCTAGTTATTTTTCATCCCAATATGTAGACAAAGAGCTTAAGCTATTTTTAAAGTCCTAATCAAAGGATATACCCACAATTATTACACACATTGATGTTGAAAAATTAATAAAACTGCAATTTAAGTCAGTTAATCTTCAAGCGTCCGTGTACTGACGGATTAAGAATACGGAAGGTCACTACCCCAATTCATCCCGTGTGGGTGTCGTAAGAGCCGACTAAGGGTGCAAAACAACGCAGGACACCAGCATTGCAGAGAGAAGGAAAACTTGACACAAACCCTATACCAACCCGTCTGGCCAGCGTGGTGTAGTAGGCCAAAACCTCCTTTCCAAGGAGAGGCCTATATCCAGCAGTGGACTATTAAAGGCCGTTGATGATCTTCAAGCTGTCTACCAAAAACCAACAATTCATATTTAGTCTAATTCCACCATATTGTAGTGTATGTGTGTGGTTTCAATTGGTTTTATTTTTTATAAAGGCTCACCTGGTCGACATAATGGAAGTTAGATTCTTTAGCCCCAACATCTTCCTGTGGTCCCAATTTATGCGACCCTGGGTAAACGCACAGACCTCCATTATTTGGTCCAGACGCATCCAAATGAAGAAAGGCCGCAACCATCGAATCTTTTTCATACGGAAAATAGTGGTAATCCTGTTAAATAATACATACATTATAACATGCAGCAGCCCTGAAAGTGAAATACCACTACGGCAAAAGTGTCTGGCTAACAAGATTTTAAACCTAAACATTACAAATTTACACACAGATCCAGTTTATATACTAGAGGTTCTTAAAGAACGATATTTTTTGAAGATGTTTACGGGAATTAACGCAATCACGGTAGGTATTAATTACATACATTTGGATTAGCTAAATTTTCTTTCCCTCGACTCAGCTGAAGTCAGTCTGCTGACAATTCTAACTAGCTAACGAAAGATAGACAATTCTAAGGTATGTACTTATACCTCTCGTGAGCTCGTTAATTTCCGTAAACAATACGGAACGCGATAGTTTAAAAGAAAATGCTAGTAGTATATCAGAGATCTTAAAATCTCATTCATTCAAGAGATCATTATTACAATGACTTTAAAACTTTGCTAGAAGTAGTACATATGATGAATTAATTAGTAATGTGTCTTGTAACTATTGAAACGCTATGATAGCTGTCTAGCACAGATAGTAAGTTATTTAGTTCAAACACATATGTTCACTGAATTGTATTAGTTGATAAGCTATATTGTATCTCAGTATTTTTATCCTAGAATTATATTATTATTTATTACAAAGAGAACTCAAGAGCTATCGTCCATGCATAAGAAATGTTAACATTTCAATAAATATGATGAATACTTACATATTAGGAGATCGCAACTTAATTAAATTACGAAACAAAAGCGAGAAATTCTTAAAATGAAATGAAACATTAATACTAAAACTTAACCAGAAAATTAAGAAACTTAAGCAAACCGAAAAAAATGTTGGAAAAATAATGAAATTTTTGGTTGAAATGAAATTTTAAATTATAGTTTTTCTAATTTTGGGTTACCACCTGGTGCATCGGATAAGCAGCTCCTTTTTCAGGAGGTTTGAGATGAGCCTTGGTGTGATGCAGCACGATATTGTTCGTTTCCATTATGTCTTCCAAAGCGTCTAGGAGTTTCTTATTGTACAGAAATGAAGCAAAGACTGCATGGTGGTATTGCAAGTTGTGAATGCCTTTTACCTGAAACAAAATAATTTAAAAATATTAAATGCAAGTGTCTGAAATATTGTCACCAGGTTTGAACCTGATAATATGATACACGCTAGTTTGGGAGCTATATAATTATAACAACAGGAGTTACATGTATGTGTACATTTGTATAATATAAGAATACTAGCTGATCCGGGAGACGTTGTTTTGCTATATACATTATTTCTAGGATATTTTTTTTTCGGTTATGAAAATGATTACGTTAATTTGATTAATATTATAACTATCTGCGCCTCACGGTTTTACCCACGGTTCTTGTTGTACTTTGCTCATCCAACGGGAAACTCGTTCCAGACTCTCTGTATCTCTGTATTAAATAAGAATGACCATTTGTGGTACCGGTTTTTCTCACGGGCAGAGATAAAAGTAATAACAATTTTTTTTTTTTTTTGTTTTTTAAGTCACTCTGCCATTATAATGATAGATTTTCATGGCGGTTTTCTTTTTCAAACTAATAAGATATGGAATTGGGATAGAGCCTGATTGGATATGGTGTCAATACGAGGAAGACTTGAAATAACATGTCCAGCAGTGGACTATTTAAGGCTGTTGATGTGATGTGATGAACTAAGTTTAGATTTACCGATATCTATTTTTATTAAAGTACATAGTTTTACTTATTATATATGTATTCAGATTTATGTAGTTAATGCATAATAAAACAATTAAATGTTACATAAACTATCTAAATTGATAAAATTGAAAGCCAAAAATATATAAATTAAAGTTAAATTAGTAATTTTTCTATTATTTTGTAAAGCAAAAAGTGAATAAAGTTGTAGGCTACAGAATTATAAATGAGGAAACTTAATGAGAAAATGTTGTTACGGTTTTCTAGAATAAAATAAATTAAATAATCTCACCGTGTAATTACTATCAGTTTTCCTATCATTTGCGTCACTTCCCGCCCACGAGCTTTCCATCTTCTCCTGGTTCTTCCGTGCGAACAGTTCATCATACTCTTTAGAAATCTCATTCAACTCCTCTTCAGACAATACATTCTTTACTACAACGTAACCATTCTTCTTGTAAAACTCTTTCTGTTCAGTTGTTAGATGACCCATCCTGCTTGCTTCTACGTATTTTACTTAATACCGAAGGCGGAATATTTTACGCACATCCAGTTACTAAATCTTTTGAACTAGTATTATTGTTTCGACTTTTGCTGTTAATTATTTTTAAGATAAAAACAGTAAAAAAACACTACGCCATCCGCGCAGTTTTGTCTTGTTACACACGATCAGCTAGAGATTTCAAACGGTAATTAAAAACAGGTTGAGATTCTAAAGACCAGGATCTCTAGAAAATTCTCATTTCTTTTTCTTTCAATAATTATCTATAGGAACCTAGGGGTTACTCTTTAGCGAGCTCTTACCAAAAACTTTAACAAAAAAACCCATAAGATATCAAGGCTTTGGTACAGGATCATATATTTCGCTATTAAAAGGAATAAGAATTTTTAAAAACAAATATCATAAAAATGTACCGAAATACAAAACGATTTTAAACGTATTAAAGATTTTTATTAACAAATATAATAACCTATAACAAAGCAATAATATTTCAAGTACAATGATAAGTTGTTGAACATTTTTAATCTGTGTTGTCAGAGTTCATTTAAATAAATGATATTTGTTTTTAGATAAATTAATAAGATAACAAAAATATCAACAATTCTGACCTATAATTGATATTATACTCGTGCACCGGAAAGTTTAGGTAATTGTTATTTTAAAGCAAAATATAAATCTTTTTCCGTCCGTGTGGTGACGGATGAAGAATACAAATTGTCACCACCCCAATTCATCCCGTGGGTGTCGTAAAAGCCGACTAAGGGAGCAAACTAAGCAGGACAACAGCACTGCAAAGAGAAGGAAAACTTGAAACAAACCCTATACCAACCCGTCTGGCCAGCGTTGTATAGTAGGCCAAAACCTCCTTTCTAAGGAGAGGCCTATGTCCAGCAGTGGACTAGTATAGGCTGTTGATGATGATGATGATGATAAATCTTTTTTGGTTTCTTCGGTTGACTGCCTCGGTGGTGTGCAGTGGTAGCGTTTGCGACAACTGTGCTGTGTATGACCAAATGTTTGTATGATGTGCAAATGTTTATTACAAAGTTTGGGTGCGTTCTATGTATAATATTTATGTATTTACAAAAAAAAAGTTAATAAGTATTCTATTAGTCAATCTAGCTTTTATAGTACAAGCTCTGCATAGTTTGATACTAGATGGCGTTGTGCGTCAGGTGTCCAAAAAAAAAATCATTATTAATTTAGAGATGTATTGCTTTATTGGACCACTTCTAGATCCTTAAGAACATACAAATTTTCATAGAAAGGCTACATGTAATTCTGAGGCTCTTATAAATTCGACTCATGCCGATAGCGCAGGGATTTGAGTGGTTACCTCGCTGCATCATACTGCACTGAGTGTTGTGGGTTCAATCCCATAAATTTTTATTAATCTACCCAGGAACTATAATATACCCAAGGAACAATATTATGTTTAACATGAAACTGCTAAAATTGTTCTAATGATTTGAAATATTTCGTGTTGATCGGTTGAGTGGTTAAATCATTAAAGCACACAAAGAAACTTATACCTACACATAATGTTAATTTAAATACCGAATCCATTATAAAATAGATACTATGGTATATACTGGTTTTTAATATACACAGTTTTAGAAACTTGAAACGTATACTTATGTCCATAATATACCTATGTATTTCTTAAATGCACTTAGGAATTATGTTTTTTCTTCAAATTTTAATGTGATCAAACGGGCAGTATATCCTCACAAAAAGAAAAGAATATTCTAAATCGGTTCTTAAATTACTGAGTTCTGAGGTAACAAACATAAAAAAAATACAGCTGAGAACTTCCCGCTTTTTACGTCGATTGAAAAAATGAAAGTGTAAAGTTCAGTTATTTTATAAATTAGTGTTATTATACAGTTTATGGTATTTAATTGTCATTTTCGTGAAGCGCAACACCAAAGAAATAGAAAACAAAAGACAGAAGCTTTGACGCAATCTTGAGAATTATTTTACTCGGTGGTCAGCTCTATTGACACCTTGGAAGTTTATCCTGGCTTATATAGAATTGACGAGGATATTTTTAAAATGACAAGGTGTGGCTGAGAGCTAAGGAAACTTGAGATATCGACAAGGTATTGTTTTCTTTTAATTTTTTACCGTATTTATTTACTGTTAATTTTTTAAATTAAATGATGATGACGAAAATCAGAAAGCTTTTGGAAAACCATGCATAGTTATGCAGTACTGGTTTTCCAACAGCTTTGTATTGTGACGTCACAAATTTGGATATGTGACGTCACACTTAAAATTTGCCAAAAGCCAGATAAAACCGGTTATCAACCGGTTCAAACCTTCAAGAAAAGAGCGTACTCCTTCCTAAAAGGCCGGCAACGCGTTTGCAGCTGACTTGCAGACGTTCATGGGCGGCGATGGTCACTTTCCATCAGGTGATCCATCTGCTCGTCTGCCCCTATAACATAAAAAAAAAACCTTTACTTATAGAATTCAGTACACCTACCGATATTCAGATATCTTACCAAATTTTACTGATTTTCTGAAATTGTGCTTGAAATTTGTTTAGAAATCAGTATTACTTGTTGGTAACGGATGTACAATATCCATGGGTAACAATATTCTTAATTAATCATCACATCTAAGTTGTTATAATTCGTCGCACACATACCTCATTAGCGCAGGAGTTACTGAAAATGACTTGATTTGTTAAAAACTTCCCTAGATGGACGTTCAGCTTTAGATGCAAATGATATATGTATATCACATCAACACATCATCAACAGCCTATACTAGTCCACTGCTGGACATAGGCCTCTCCTTAGAAATGAGGTTTTGGCCTACTATACCATGCTGGCCAGACGGGTTGGTATAGAGTTCGTTTCAAGTTTTCCTTCTCTTTGCAGTGCTGTTGTCCTGCTTAGTTTGCTCCCTTAGTCGGCTCTTACGACACCCACGGGATGAATTGGGGTGGTGACAGTTTGTATTCTTAATCCGTCACCACACGGAATATATATATATATATGTGTATATAAATGATATATATATAAATAACATACAAGACGAGGTGCCCGTATTAAACAGCTACATTTTACCAACTTTTGTTTCCACTTACTTACACAGCACTTGCTACTTATTTTTGTGATGATGATGTGATGAATCTCTTACAGGCAACCTTTGGATGGATTTATTTTCTGTTTTTAATAAAAATGAGCGACCGAGACATCTAGTAAATTAGCAGATAGTACGAGTACTAGTTATTACTTTTTTTTTATGGTATAAGGGGGCAAACGAGCAGACGGTTCACCTGATGGTAAGCAACTACCGCCGCCCATGGACACCCGCAACTCAAAAGTCAAAAGTGCGTTGCTGCCCTTGGAGTCCCTCCTGCTCGAGTCAGCGGGAGGGTGGATTTGGGCTCCAGTAACCTCACTCACTCAGTGACAGGCAACGAAAGAATTGTTTAATACCGGTTTTCTGTGAGGCCGTGGTATCACTCCGGTCGAGCCGGCCCATTCGTGCCGAAGCATGGCTCTCCAACGGTAATAAGAAAATCAAAACACACGTACCTACATCATGTTTGTCACACAAAACCTTTAAGCGTTTATCATATTTGAATTATCACATCAAGATGCCATCTTTAACGCCTACAGAAATATAAATAGCCTTAGAACAAGCATATATCACGTTTATCGTACATTCGGCAAATTCTCCCAAAGATCTATGCACGTGGGGATATATGGCCTCTCCAACCATGAATATTGCTATCGACCGCATTATCCATTGACAAATGTGTTCACATAAACTGAAATTTATGCAAAGAACGTCGTCGATGGTTGGAAAAATATTTATTTGTACCACTTTCATCGAATGTTCGTCTATAACGAGTTGTAAGGGGTGATTCATTGGAGACGTTTTGGGGTCGACCGAATCTAAGAGGAGTGTTCAATCATATAATTTGAATGATTAGTCTACCGGGTTAGTTTTTGTTATGGAATTGGCTTCAGTTGTAACATTACTATTTAGTATATTAACATGTCGTGTCACTAATATAGATTGCCTTATGGCCACACTACTTCCTTATTCTTTGTTCCTCTGTCTGTGTTACTGTAAAGCAACGGGCCTGTTGGTCCAGTGATTAGTGACCCTGACTGCTAAGCCGGAGGTCGTGGGTTCGATTCCCACCCAGGACAAATATTGTGTGATAAGCAAAGTCATTTGTTGTGTATCTGGGTGTAATTATCTATAATATGTATATATTCAAAAATATAAAAGTATGTTTATCAGCAGTCTGGTTACCATAGCACAGGCTCTGCCTAGTTTGAGATCAAATGATAGATGTGTGAACTTATTATTACTATAACGTAAATAAGACATCACAGATATATATATATTACTGTATTGTGCTGAAGTGATAAATAATAGAAGTGATAAATAATATTACAAGTCAGTCTTAGAAGTTATTTCATTTATAAGACCCTCGCTATATGTTTCATTGATATCCTTCCTCGATAAAAGGGCTATCCAAAATTAAAAGAATTTTTCAATTCGGACCAGTAGTTCCTGTGGTCCGTGTGGTGACGGATTAAGAATACAGAGTGTCACAACCCGACTCTTACGACACCCACGGGATGAATAGCCGTGGATGTCGTAAGAGCCGACTAAGGGAAAAACTACGTAGAACAATAGCACTGCAGAGAGAAGGTCAAACTTGACACAAACCCTATACCAACCCGCCTGGCCAACGTGGTATAGTAGGCCAAAACCTCCTTTCTAAGGAGAGGCTTATGTCCAGCAGTCTATTAACGGCTGTTGATGATGATGATGAGTTCTTGAGATTACCCCAAACATAAAAACTCACAAAGTTTACCTCATTATAATATTGTAGCGTAGATGATTTAGACAAGTTAAAGTCGGTAATACTGCTTTGAAGAAATTTAGTAACACGCCCTTACAATCCCTACTAATATTACAAATGCGAAAGTAATTCTATCTGTCTGTAAACTGTG